TTTCTTTATTCAGGTCTTGCTTGTGACACAATAGTTCCTTAGTATTTGATCTTTTGCCTGTTTGTTTCTACTGTAAATGTAGTCTCTTGGGGCAGGGGGAATAGTGAGGACTCTTGGGGGTACTAGTAATGTTTTGTTTTTAATTTGGGTACTTGTTACGACAAAAAGTGCATTTATCTATATACTTTTGTGCATTTCTTGGTATATGTACTATATTTCCATAAATGTTAAGAAAATAAATCTCCTGGCCAGTGTTGTGGCTTAATAAGTTAAGCCTCTGCTTGCTGCAGTGGCACCAGGTCGAGTCCTGGCTGCTCCACTTCCAATCCAGCTCCCTGCCTATAGCCTGGGAAAGCAGCAGAGAGGATGGCCCAAATGCTTGGGTCCCTGCACTTGTGTGGGAGATTGGGAAGAAGCTCCTGGCTCCTGGCTCCTGGCTTCAGATCGGCCCAGCTCCAGTCGTTGGCCATCTGGTGATGTGAACCAGTGGAAGGAAGTTCTCTCAGTCTCTGTCTCTCCCTCTCTGTGTGTAACTCTGCCTTTTGAATAAAATAAATAAATATTCTTTAAAAAAGAAAATGTAGTGTTTCCTTCCATTGTTTTAATTATTATAGTTGGTATATAAGGAAATGATTGATTTCTATTTGTTAATTTTCAAATCATATACCTCACAGAATTCTGTTTTTTTTTTCTTTTTTTTTTAGTTTATTCTCTTGGGCTGTCTAAAAATAAAAACCCATATCTTTGAGTAGAAGAATTAAAATCCTGCCTTTCAATATTTGTATTTTGCACTTCTTTTTCTTATCCAGCATCAATTGGTAACATCCTTTTCTGGTTCTTTACTCCAAATACTTCCAGTGTTTACCCATTAATCCTATTGGTACTTTTAATTCCCTAATAATTCTTGTCAACTATTTAAAAAAATGGAAAAAGTTTTTGCAAACTACTATTTATAAAAGCATGATTTATAGATTTAAAAAGGCTTAACTGAAAAGAATCTCAGTGATTAATAACAGAAGTTAAGGAGACTCCACAAAGAACAACAGCACAGAAAATGGTCATGCATGAATATAATATTTTTAATAAAAAGATGACATAAAATTACACTGATCTGGAAAACACTCCCAAATTATTGATAGAAAAGAAAGGAAGTCTACTAATATGCTAATAGTGGTTTCCATTAAACAGCATTATTTTTTTATTTTTATTTTTTATTTTTTATTTTTTTATTTTTTGACAGGCAGAGTGGACAGTGAGAGAGAGAGACAGAGAGAAAGGTCTTCCTTTGCCATTGGTTCACCCTCCAATGGCCGCCGCGGCCGGCGCGCTGCGGCCGGCGCACCGCGCTGATCCGATGGCAGGAGCCAGGAGCCAGGTGCTTTTCCTGGTCTCCCATGGGGTGCAGGGCCCAAGCACCTGGGCCATCCTCCACTGCACTCCCTGGCCACAGCAGAGAGCTGGCCTGGAAGAGGGGCAACCGGGACAGAATCTGGCGCCCCAACCGGGACTAGAACCCGGTGTGCCGGCGCCGCTAGGCGGAGGATTAGCCTAGTGAGCCGCGGCGCCGGCCTCCATTAAACAGCATTATAATCAAATAGTTTTTCTAAGGTTTCTCTTTTCTAAATTTTACATAGTGAACTGATATTATGCTAAAGGGGAAGTAGACTTTTATTTTAATTTATGACTAAATTAAATGTCTAAAAACGGTGTTGGAACTAAGTCCTTGTGGGGATAGCTCAACTTTTGTTCACATTTAAACCATATTTAAAGTAAAGGGAGGCAGATGAGCCTCAAACCAAGGGCAAACTCCAGTACAATACTATTGCTCTACTTCTAGGTTATTTAGTGCAGCACTATCCAACAGAAATGTGTGAGCCTTGGGTGTGATTTTTGGTTTTTCTAGAAGACACATTTAAAGCAGAAAAGAAATAGGTGAAATTACTTTTAATGGAAAATGTTATTCAATCCAGTAGAGCCAAATGTTATTATTTCAGTATGTAACCAACACAAAAATATTAACAAGATATTTTACATTTTCTTTTCTTACTAGGCTAAGAAATCCAGTGTGGTTTTTTACATTCCTAGCACATCTCAATTCAGACTAGCCACATTTCATGTGCTTAATAGTCATACAAACAGAGGAAATCATAATCTGTAGACATTGCAGAAACAAGTGTTGGAAAAAGCATGTGTATGTGTGAAGACTTATAACAAGGCTCAACAAGGAAACAAAAATCACCTAAAATAAAAATCACATAAATTAAGATCTTTTTTGTGAGCTTCCCAGTGATCACTCCCACTACACAATTCATTTCATTGAGCAAAATGTCCTAAACTGGATGTAAATACTTTTCCATCTTGCTGCCTATTTGGGAGAAACCCAGTCTTCTGGCCATGGTCGAAGTAAGGCAGGGGGCATTCAGGAGTGAGGAAAGCAAAGAAGAAAGAGGAAAATTCCAGAGTTGTAAAAGATAAAAATTAAAAATTTGCTTACTCCTTATCCTAACACAGCAGTCTTCAATCTGCAGTGTGAATTCTTCTAGTGATCTGTGAGGACTGGCCAAAGGTTCTTTTAGGGATATACTGGAGCCATTAGATTACATTAAATTAAATGTAAATAAAAGTTTGGATCTTCAGCCTCACTACGTACATTTCAAGTGCTCAAAAGCTGCATGAACCTGACAACTATTTGGGGGCAACTCCAGGAGGGTTAGCTGCCAGTCTGCTCCAGGACAGCTCTGGCCCAGACGTCCTGCAAGGCCCGAAGCTTTGGCATGGAGCCCAAGGTGGCACAAAAATTTGTTGTTACAATGAAATCTCTACTCTCTCTACGCACCCATGAAAAACTCGTGCATCTATAAAAATAAAACAATGAATTTATAGTTGGTGCCAAGCATTGGCTCAGTTGAGCAGTAAGCAAAATTCATCTGAGCAGTATAAACAACTTGAACTATTAAAAAATGCATCTTACTCAGAGTTGCACTTCTCTTACTTGGGATGGCTGGAACGTAGGATGTTGTTTTCCCATAAAAAGGGAATTTCAGATGTGAGATGGAGATGGGCAGTGAGCATGCAAGTGAAATTTAATGAAGAGTATACACTTGGAAGGCCAGGTGGGCATCTCAGCAAAGAACTGAGAGCCTAGTTTTAATTCAGACTCAGGTTTTATGCGTATTGGCTCACCATATCTCCACCTCCATTCTCTTCTTCTGGAATATTGCTGGGCAGAGGTCATCAGAATTCATAGACATCCTGGCACTGGGCTGTGAAGATTCCCTTAATAGGTCCCTGGGAGAGGGCTGGAACCCACCTACCAGGGTTATCACGGGAGAGACTTTTTTGATCTACTTCCAAAACATGAGTCTACATTTCTTCCCTCATTCAATTGCATGAATTCCCCTTTTATGTTCTTAGGCCCCTCACACACACATTGGCTAATGTCTACCTTCCTACCTAACACTTCTAAAGCATTTCCCTTTCTATATAAAAACTGCTAAAATAATTTTGCAATATATTTATACAATTTTACTAGGAATCTAGAAAATAAAACTTAAGTTAAAAAATTGCAAACTTCTAATTTAAGTATGCAAATATATGCTAGAGTTTACAACAAAATAAAGTAGAAACTTTTAGAGTAGGATAAAATTCAGTGAGACATATAAACTGGAAATATTTTATATCGGGAAAAAATTCATTGAGTTGAACACAATAAACGTTTAAGTTCAAAGTAAAAACCCGGAAAGATGTAAAATTTCAGGATGTTAAAGTGGATAGTAATATCAAATCATCGTGGATTTAAATAACATTGGACACATTTGAAAGAATGATAAGGAATTTTGCTATTAAAATACCAAAATTGAAAGCATGCTATTGCAGAGGGTTGCCCCAGGACTCGGGGCAAATCCCAAAGCTAAATGATTTGCAGGCTCCCCAGCTCCACCCAGAAATGCAAAGCACTTTCCTGGGAGAGCTTTTTGGATCGGGAAGAATACCTCATCCTGAGAAGCCACTGACTGCTGTTACTGGTGCGCCTCTGGCTGTGCTCCCATTGCTTCCATTCACCCCATGGCGGCTCTCAGCGTTCAGTTGTGCTGCCTGCTGTGTTGTTTCCTTGTAGTAGACAACTCTGGTGAATTCTTTCACTATCTGTCCTAAACCAGTCGCTTCCCACGACAGAGACTGGGAAAAAGAAGTTGAAAGGCAGGCTTATTTTGGTGCAAAAATAATAACATTTACGTGTAGTGTCTTGAAAGTTTTTGGAGCCTCTGGCATTTACGATTTTGAATTTTTTTGCACAAAAAAAGACCACATTTATTAATTCTATTTTCCGTGAACTTCCTGACCTACTTCTGCACGCATTTCACAGCTGTTCAAACATAAGATGAAAATGACTTAGATGTTACTGCGGAAAAAAAGGGGTGGGATAGCTTTAGAAAGTCATTTTATACTCTGGGTTTGGGTGCTAGCAGTCAGGGCGATGCCACTCGGGTCTGCAATGCTTGGGGACATTGCGCCCGCCCCCACTCAGTCCTCCAGCAAGGCGGGAGCCGCCACGGAACCGCCCTCTCCCCGACCCGCCCGGGCCGTGGCTCGCAGCCTCACTTTGTAATGGTGTATTCCGGTCCACAGGCAGGTTGTTAGCTGTTTATTTCTTCTACTGGGCCACTTTTTTAACTGTGCACCCCCCCCCCCCCAATCCTACCACGAGCTATAAAGGGCTGAGAAACAAGAAGCCATTCCTGTGGTTTCTTGGTTTCGCTTCCAGGCCGCGCCACGGATTGGGCATAAACAGCGGTTGAAAGAACCATCCTCACCGCACACCCCGCCATGCTGAGTGAGGACGTACCATCGAGTTGGTCCTCCAGCGTCCCAGAGCGGGCGCGGAAGTGCCCCGTGGCTTGAGCCGTTTCTTCCGGCCGGGCCGTCGCAGCTTTTGTCCCGCCGGCGGCCGGGCTCCCGCGGCGCCGCCACCGCCAGTACGTGAGTCCGCGGCCGCCCGCGCTCCCGCCCCAGGCCCTGGCCTGCCACGCCCTTCTCTGCTTGGCTGGGTCCTGGCTGCCCCTCTGGTCTCGGGCGGGGCTGGGCGGTGGGGGGTTGGGGAACCGTGCCCAGTCCCGGTTCAAATCTCTGGATTCGCGATTTGGGACGTGGAGGGGAGGGAGCCCTTAGGCCTGTAGAGGAGTGTGGGGCGCGGCTCTGAATCACACTGGGCTCCACATAGACCCCACCTCCGGTCTTCTGAGCTGGTCAGGATCGAGTTCAGGCCACTTGGTGTTCAGTAAACCGCCGTGGCCTCGCTCCCGTGTTCCTTAGCTCCGAAAATGAGCGCTCTAGGATTCCCTTCTCCCCTGCAGTTTAGTTTTGCCTTGGTATTTGAGTTGTTTCGAGCACCATAGGGAACTCCACAGGTGATGTGTGACTCGATCTCTCCACCCCACCTCCTGGTAGTGACCAGTGGTAATGAGAGACTCCCTACGCCAAGTGTGGATGGAGCCCCAGGGAGACCTAGCTGGCTTTCGACCTGGGAAGCCTCGCTGGTATGTAGCACGCCGGTGCTCCCGGAGGCGACCTGCCGCGGGCTCCGCGAGCTGAGGCAGAGAGGACTATGGAGAGGAAGGTGGGAGAGGCCCCTAGAGTCCGGGGCACCCTGCAGGAGCCCGGTTGTGGGACTCTAAAGGGTGAATGGAGCGTGTGTTGCTCCAAGACGTTTAGACGAGGTAGCCAGCAAGAATGTTTTCTTTTTAAAGCAGGAGGTCCTATTATTTATTTGAACGATAGAATTGCAGAGAGAGGGAGCTTCCATCCATTGGTTCACTCCCTTAATGGCCACAGGAGCCAGAGCTGGGCTGGTGGGAAGCTGGGAGCTTCTGAGTCTCCCATGTGGGTTGGAGGGCCCAGGGACTTGGGACATCTTTGGCTGCTTTTCCAGGCACACTGGGGAGCTGGAATGGAAGTGGAGCAGCTGGACTCCAGCCGGCATCTGCCAGCTACTAAGCCACAGCACCGGCCCTTAAGACACTTTTTTAAAATGAAGTTTTGACTATGTGATGCATTATTATGGTTCAGATATTAAAAACAAAAAGTTGTCCGTGAAAAGGTTTCCTCCCACTCCTCTCAACGGTCTTCTAACATCCCTAAGTAGCTTTGGAAGTTTTGAATGTATTCTTCCAGGGTTTCTTTAGCAAATACTGGCAAATATAAATGTCGTTAGTTCCCTTTAAGAAACATAGATGATAGAGTACTTTACACCTGCCCCTTCTTTCATTTACTCTGTCTTGCAGATCTCTGCATGTTACAAGATAGGGCATTAAAAGATTTTTCTTTTGTAAAGTGCCGTGATTGGCCATTATTTGGATGTTTTGGATGTCTGTAATTTTTGGGATTTATTTGAGGAAGTATGGGCTGTTGCCAATTTTTGTTATCAAACAGTTGTATACTGTATGATGTGTAGGATGAGGGCTTTTAAAGAAAGGACTGAATAATCATAAAAAATTTTGTTCTACATTAACTTAAGCAATTATTGACAGGTTATTAAAGATGTCAAATTATTAATAATAATCCTTCATGTATAAAGAACAAATAAAATAGTCTTTTCCTCCTGATATTTTCCTATATGATGTTTAGTCTTAACAAACTAGCTCAACAGACTAATCTATTCATGACTACTCAAGCCACCTTTCATAATCTCCTTTACTTATTACCTAGGATGGCTAGAAATATTTTTTCCACCATAGATATGAGAATGTTCATTTATTTTACATTAAGGAAAGCCCACCATTGCTATTTTTTACTCTTAAGCAATAGAACCAACTCATGTTAACCATCTACAATTCTGATATTCATAAATTTAGTGCAATAATACCTAGAGCACCAACTCTTTTCTCTCTTACCTGTGTATCACCCACCTCTCTTACTTCTTATTCATGTCATTCACTTGCTCCTTCTCTCTCTAGGAACTTTTCTGAGCTGGTAAGCATTTTATGATCATATTTCCTATTAATTTTTTTCTTTCTCTGTTCATCTTCAAGTCAAATATAGTATCTGAGAATTTAAGATACAGAATACAGATGTGACATTTGAGATGGTAGGGTGGCTTGTAGAACACCTGCATGGTTGGACTCTGAACTTAAATTAGCTATTGGCACATTGCACCTGTTGCTTGATGCAGTGTGTTATTAATGAGAAAATATTTTCAGCCAGAGGGAATTACAGTTCATCTCTTGAAGTTGTCTAGTCTCTTGAGAAATGGCTTTTGATTCTCCAGGGGCAGGGACAGAAGGAATTAAGGGAAGGTTCTTACTGTCTGCAGGCAGTTTTCTAGGCATTGGTGGTAGAATGTGAACAGGAACCATAGAAGTTATTTGGAAAGAGTGGATGGCATTCTATGGCTTTTGACAAATATAACCAGGCTATAAGGAAATTCTCTACTGATAATAGGTTAGAAAGGGATTCCCACCCAGCCTTTAGAACTTCTAGGAAATTTAAATTTTTTCATCCTTCTCTATGGAGGAGTGATGATTTTGGAGTAATTCCTTTCTTGTGTCCTTAGAGGATGCATGAGTTAGCGACCACATCGATCTTCAATTTCAAAACTAAGTTCATTCTCTTCTCAATCCATTTTCTTCTTCTGCAAGTAGTAGGAATGATCTTTATTTTTAAAATTTATATGGGAAAGTAGACTAGTACAGTGACCTCCCATACACCCATCACTCAGTTTCAGCAATTATCAGGATTCTGTTAGATTTGTTTCACTTTTGCCTTTGTATTTTTCATTGATTGAGATATTTTAAAGCAAATTCAAGACGCTAGGCGATTTCACTTTAGCATTCATTAATCTGCATTTTTTTTTAAAAGGGTACATCTACCATAACCATGAGCCACTGTCACATCATCTTAAATTAACTGATTCCTTCCTTGATTTTTATCTAAGAGGGTTATAGACTGCTGGGCCTACAGTCTGCTTTTGCATAACCAGCAAGCTAAAACTGATTTTTGCATTTGTAAGGTAATAGTAATAATAATCAACACTCCTATTGTGGCCCACAAAGCCTGAAATGTTTCCTATTTGGCCCTTTAGAGAAAGTATTTACTAATCTCTTGATTTAATAAAATAAATGATTCCTCAAAATGCATATCCAAGTTTGCTACTTTTTTGCCTAAAACTTCTGAGGATTAAGTCTGAACTCCTTAGTATGAAACATACTAAATATTGTGTAGCGCCTATTTTTGCCTACTTCTTTGATTTTGCCTCTGCCCACCACTAGAGATGTCTGAAGAGGGGTGAACACCATCCCCTTTGCATATGATCTTCCCGCTGCTGGGAATACCCACTTCTGTCTTTATGGTGCTCTTCCTAATCTTTTGAAGCAGAGTCTATACCATTCTAATTTTCCTCCATTTGTCTCAGTTGTTTTAAAATATCACATATTATTTTCCTGTCAGTTTCCTATTAGTCTGCAGATGACTTGATAGCTGAGCCTTGTCTTGTCTGTTTCTTCATTTCTAAGGACTAGCCCAGGGCCTGGAAAACAAAAAAGATGGGTATGGTTCATAATGTAAGTTCCTGTGCAGCATTCAGCTTAGGAAGGACTAAGACGCCGGAGTGCATCTTCAGTATTGTTTGTAAGGATAACTTAACATTTTGGTACATTTTCTTGGTTGCCTTTATATTTTAGCAGCACTTATTCTAGTGGGTTTTAGCCTATGTTTCTTTTTGTTGTTGTTATTCTAGTATCGATTAATATGAATTTCATTTCAAGCCATCTGTTTTCAATGATGATGCACATTTATACAGATCCAGTCACATTTCACTCAATGAGGAGAGAATGCATTACATCAGATTATGGAACAATGTACTCTTCCCACCCCTCCTACCCAAACAGGAGGTAAAGCAAAGCCAGAACAGAGAGACTACTAGTTTTTGCATAAGTTAGAGAGGTAAGCAGTGAAATACTAACATTTTTGATTTAATACAGACTGGGCCAGTCAGCAATCAATCAAACAATTTCAGCAGACATGGAAGGAACTAAGAATTAGCCTATCAGAGAGAGTTAAGGAAAAGACAGGCAGAGAATCAATGAGTACAGTGGGAGTGAGGGGTGAATTAGCTTGTTACCATTTAGTGTTGGGTGCAGAAGACTTAGGTTGTCACAATGAATAGCCTTAAAGAACTTAGCATTTGGAAGTGTGTTTGTTTTTCATTATAAGAAAACACCACAGGGGCTGGCATTGTGCATTGGGTTAAGCCACCACTTACCACTTTAGCATCCCCTACTGGAGCACTGGTTGGTGTCCTGGCTTCTCTGCCTCAGATCCAGCTCCCTGCTAAAATGCTTGGTAACTCATACTTGGGCCCCTGACACATATGTGGGAGAGCTGGATGGAGTTCTGGGCTCTGGGCTTCAGCTTGGTGCAGCCCCAACCATTGTGCCCATTTGGGGAATGAACCAGTGAAAAAATAAATAAATAAATCTTAAAAAAAAAGAGAGAACTAGGCTGGTGAATTTAAAATTAGAATAGTTCTAAAGGTTGGAAAGCCTAAGATCAAGGTGCTGGTTTCCACTGAGAGCTTTTTGCTACAAACCCATCACTTGACAGAAGGGCAAAGAGAAGGGCAAAATGGAGCCAAACTCACCTTTTTATTTGGAATCCACTCCCACAATAATATCAGTAATACATTGGTACAGGTTAGGCCTAATTACTTCTTAGAGGTTCCATCTCCTAAAAATGTTACAATGACAATTTAATTTCAGTGTGAATTTTGGAGGGGACATTCAGACCATAGCAGAAAGTGACTGGGTGTACATTTTGCAAACTTCTTCACAGCTGGTGGAGGAAGAATTGGATGGGGTAAGCAGGAAAGGAGAGACTGGGGCAGTCATTCAGAAAATTTAGGAAGGCTTCAGCAGAAAACTTAAAAGAGAATGGAGGTGGGGTGGGGAGGGAGCTTGAGGACCAATTAGATAATAGAATCAGCTGATCTTAGCAGCTGTTTTGGATATAGATAAGAGAACCTATTTCTGATTTAGGCAAAGGAGCATGCAGGGATGGATGTGAGGGTCTGTAATAGGCTCTGGGACAGAGATGAAGGTCTGAGAGCTTGTAGGTGCTGGGTCTGTTAAAGGAGAATGGGTGTATATAAATATATTGAGTCAGAAAAGGAAAGTTTCAGGATGGAAGGAGGGGGTAGGGAGCACCTAAAGGTAGTAGCCTGGGGAGCAGGCAGCTGACTTCGAAGAAGCTAAAATAGCATGGTCTGAATGGAAGAAATCAGATTAAGTAGATAAGGCATGAGGGGAAAAGAGACATGAAGACTGCTTTTTTTTTTTTTTTTGAAAGATATATTTATTTGAAAAACAAGGTTACAAGGAGGGGGAGGATCTTCCCATCCTCTGGTTCACGCTCCAGAGTTGAGCCAAGCTGAAACCAAGAGCCAGCAGCTTTGACTGGATCTCCCACATGGGTGGCAGAGGCCATCTGCTTTCTCAGGTGTGTTAGCAGGGAGATGGATTGGAAGCAGAGCAGCCAGCATTTGAACTCCCAGCAAACCTCATTTACTCAGTCCCATAGTGCATCTAAAATTGTTTCAGAATTTCTTTGTTCATACCACTATAGAAAACAGACCTGCTAACTATCAGTTGTTTGCTTATAACTCCCTTCCAGCCTTCCTAAGACTGGTATACAATATTTGTATACAGTATACAGTCAAGTATTATGGTCTTAAGTGACATTATTTCTTTTTGTTTCCTTTCTGTGTTTATGGTATTCATGTGAAACACAAATGGGTTTGTTTCTGTTTGCTTTCATTCTTAGCTGTTTTACCCCCCTTCTCATCCTTATTAATTTTATTGTTTAAATATGCAGAACATTCTTGTGCTTCTAAATAAAAGCTATACAAAAAGGTATACTCAGGAGTGTCTCTCCCTATTCCTCCTACTCTGTTTCCCACTTAAACCCTTTATAAGGAGCAAACTTTTTTTGTTTTCTGGTATTACTATAAAGATAAGCAGTTACATGCTTGTCTTATTTTTCTTTCTTAAAGCATATTTTCCTCACTTAACTTTGCTTTTTTGGCTTTATAGTATATCATAGAAATTGCACATATCAATTCACAGATGTTCTCATTCTTTTTTAGTACTCTGTAACATATATTTGTTATAGTTTATTTAACCAGTCTTCTATGCTTGGACATGTAGAGAGTTTTCCAGATTTTGCAGTTATAAATAATGCTATGGTGAATGCTTTATGTATACATACTTTTGTATTATTGGAGGTGTATCTTCAGTTATAAATTCCTAGAACTGGGATTTCTGAATTGAAGGGTAAGTATGTATATATATATATGTGTGTGTGTGTGTGTGTGTGTGTGTATGTATGTATAGAGAGAGAGGAAGAGAGAGTTAGATATTGTCAACTTCTCCCTAACAGAGGTTGTGTCAACTTGTATTCTCAGTAATGTATGAGAGTATGTTCATTGACAAGAGTTTTTTGTCCAACTTCGAACATTTTCAGGTTTAACAGTTGAGAAATGGTATCTTACTATAGTCTGTATTTCTGTTACCATAATTGAAGTTGAATATCTTCACAGTTTCAAGGGCTATTTTAATATTCTTTTTGTGAATTTTATGTGTCTTTTCCCTATTTTTATGTATCATTTTTTAGTCTTAGTGTTTTTTAAAGATTTACTATGCCTTTCAGCATAGTTATAAAGAGAGGAGAGACAGAGAGAGATCTTCCATCTGTTGGTTCACTCCCCAAATGGTTGGAGCTAGACTGGTCTGGAGTCAGGAGCCAGGAGCTTCTTCCAGGTCTTCCATGTGGGCGCAGGGGCCCAAGTACTTGGGCCATCCTCTTCTGTTTTCCTAGGCACATTAGCAAGGAACTGAGTTGGAAGTGGAACAGCCAGGTCTTGACCTGGTGCCCATATGGAATGCTGGTGTTCTAGGCAGTTACATCACCAGCTGCACCATAATGCCAGCTCCTCTCTTCAATTTTTGAAAATTCTTTTTCTGTTAGGGATATTGGTCTATATATATATATATATATACACACACACACACACACACCATGATGTTTTATGTTGCAAATATCTTCTTTTACTTTACCATCACTTCTCAGTTTTGCTTATGATATTTTTATTTTGCAGTTTTATTTATTTATGTCAAAGATTTATTTATTTGAAAGAATTACACAGAGAGAGACAGAGATCTTTTTATTTTTTTATTTTTTTATTTATTTTTTTTTATTTTTGACAGGCAGAGTGGACAGAGATCTTTAATCCACTGGTATACTCCCCAGATGGTTGCAACAGCCAGGGCTGGGCCAAGCAAAAGCCAGGAGCTTTATCTGAGTCTCTTATATGTGTGGCAGGGGCCCAAACACTTAGATCATCTTCCACGCTTTTCCCAGGCCATCAGCAGGGAGTCAGATTGGAAGTGCAATAATAGCTGGGACACCAACTAGTGCACATGTGAGATGCTGAGTCACAGGCAGTGGGTCTGCCAACTGTGCCACAACACTGGTTCCACAATTGTATTTTAATATAGTCAAATGTATCTGTTTGATTGTATTTGGTCACAGTTAGAAAGCCGTGTTTATTCCCAGGTTATAGAGGCAGTTACACGTGTTTTCTCTAAGTATTTCCTTCAATAATTTGAATTACCATCTTTTCCCTAATAATTTTTTTAAAGATTAATTTTATTTATTTGAAAGACGGAGTTACAGAGAGAGGTAGAGACAGAGAGAGAGGTCTTCCACCCATTGGTTCACTCCCTAGATGGCTGCAACCGCCTGGAGCTGCACTGATCTGAAGCCAGGAGCTTCTTCCGGGTCTCCCATGCTGGTGCAGGGTCCCAAGGACTTGGGCCATCTTCTGCTGCTATCCCAGGTCATAGCAGAGAGCAGGTCATAGCAGAGCAGCCAGGACTCAAACTGATGCTCTGATATGGGATGCCAGCATCCCAAGCAGTGGTTTAACCTACCATACCATGACACTATCCTGTTTTTTTTGTTGTTGTTGTTGTTGTTAAGATTTATTTATTTTTTTGAAAGTCTGAGTTACACACAGAGAGGAGAGGCAGAGAGAGGGAGGGAGGGAGGGAGGGAGGGAAGGGTTGAGAGGTCTTCCATCCACTGGTTCATCTCCCAATTGGCCCAAGGACTTGGGCCATCTTCTACTGCTTTCCCAGGCCATAGCAGAGAGCTGGATCAGAAGTGGAGCAGGACTTGAACCGGCACCAATATGGGATGCCCACACTGCAGGCAGCGACTACCCGGTACGCCACAGTGCCGGTCCTGTGTTTGTGTTTTTTTTTTTTTTTTAATTATTGTTAATTTGTAGATGAAAGCAAGAGTGAGAGAGGAACAGACAGAACTCTCATCCTCTAGTTTACTCCCCAAATGCCTGAAGTCTGAAGATATCCCAGGCCATAGCAGAGAGTTGTATTGGAAGAGGAGCTGCCAGGACTAGAACTGGCATCCATGTGGGATGCTGGTGCTGCAGGCCAGAGCTTTAACCCGCTGTGCCACAGTGCTGGCCCCTGTAGTATGTTTTAATGTCTAGTATCCACTCAAAGTTTTCTCCTCATCTTTTCTCCCTAGCACCTTGTGTGTGTATGTTTTAGCAGATTTGCCTTTTTTTTTTTTTTTTTTTTAAGACAGGCAGAGTTAGACAGTGAGAGAAAGAGAGAAAGGTCTTCCCTCCGTTGGTTCACCCCCCTTCCCCCCACAAATGGCTGCTACGGCTGGCACGCTGCGACTATCTGAAGCCAGGAGCCAGGTGCTTCCTCCTGGTCTCCCATGTCGATGCAGGGTCCTAGCATTTGGGCCATCCTCCACTGCCTTCCCAGGCCGCAGCAGAGAGCTGGACTGGAAGAGGAGCAACTGGGACAGAATCCGGTGCCCTGACCGGGACTAGAACCCGGGGTGCTGGCACCACAGGCGGAGGATTAGCCTAGTGAGCCATGGTGCCAGCAGCAGATTTGCTTTTTATGTCTGTATGAACCTGAACATTTTTTGGTCCTTAGGGCTGAGGGTAAGTAGAAATGGTAGAGCCTAGATCAAAAAGGAAATTGGTGAAACAAAGGCCCTGATGTATGTGGGAGAAGGATTCATGCACAAATAAAGTATGTGTTACAGTTGATGGTTCTGGAATTCCACTGCCTACCAAGTAGTCCTCACAATTCAAATGATATGGACTCTTCTGTCCAAAGCAATGAAAATAGGAAGGATAATGAGCTGTAATCTCTGATGATCTCTTATTTAGTACTAATTATTACCTTATATTTAATTACTTAATAGTCATTTTGTGACAGAATTTCTTAGCCCTGACCCAGTGCAGTCTGACACCCAAGGTAAGAAGGAGTCATCTTTATTTTTACCTAATGTTAATCACAAATGTGTAATTATCTAAGGCTGGGGGATAACCAGCTTAGAACTCTTTTGTTTGCTCTTGGGAGTCAGTTTGTCAGTGGATTGTGGATGCTGATAGAGTGACAGTCCTCTATAGAGTGCCTACAGAGGAACAAAGAGGACCTGTCTCTGTCTAGCCCTTAAAGCTGGCTTTGGGAATGAGTTTATTCTTCCAGTCATAGGGTTTATCTCTAGGTTCTGATCCAGATCCAGTAATCCCAAATTCTTAATCATAGTACTTAATAATAAAATTAATAATATGTAGAATCACTAAATGACAGGCATTGTTATCAGTGTTTTAAATATGTTGTCTCAGTTAGTATTTATAGCAACTCTATTGCTTTCATTTTAGAGAAGAGGAAAATGCTGCCAAAAGAGGTTAAATAACTCAAGGACCTACAGCTAGATGTTTGAACCAAGGCAATATTTCCTTTGTCTGATTGTTTATGTTTTTGCTTTTTTAAAAATCGTGGTTTTTTGCTAATCTATGATATGCCCTGACTATAAACAGCCTGTTCACACATAGAAATGAAAGTATCTCTCCCTGGCATATTGGACTTTCCACATGGCATTCTTCCCTGACTACTGACTTTCCAGAGTAATAATTTCCTTAGAGGAAAGGTCCAAAAAGACAAACCAACTTCAGACAATTTCAGATTTTCTTTTTCATCTCTGCAATGACTATTATGATTTCATAACTCACTCCCTGGCATGCATACCTAAGTACTGACTCTCTTTAATTTTGCCTGTGTGCTGATTATATGTAACTTTGTAATTAAAAAAAATAACATTTTTCTAACTAATTTTTGTGTTTCCTTCAGAGATGTCTGCTTCCTTCTGTTTTTTCATGATTAGGTGGTGATAGTCAAATACTGATCAGTGTTGCTCTTGGTTCTGTTCATCATTTCAATAATTTCAATCCATTCATCCTGTCCTTTTGCTCAACTGTTAGATAAGAATAGAAAAACTCTTCATTATGTAGAAAAACTCTTCATTATGTTGAAAATCTTGAGCTTTAGCATTTGAACATTACATGCACACAGCAGAAATTTTGTCATGTGCATTGCTGTATCCCCAGTCCTTAAAAAGGATACCTGTCACACAGCATGCAGCCAATAAGTATTGGTCATGTGAATGTATAAATTTTGAAGTGATTCTTCTAGTTTTTTTGGTAAACAAAGTAAATAGGTATAATTTTCATTTTCTTGGTTTAGTGTCACATTTGAAGACTGGCACTGAGGATGAAGAATCAGCTGAAAAATATGAAAATGTTGGAAATGCACACTGTACATGGCCAAAAGTAGAAGGCCTTCATAAGGATCATTTGCAAGAATATCAGGTTGGTGCAACCTATGACTGGGATAGCAAAGTAGAGATTGACCTGGAAAAGATTGAGGGAAAACGAATGAAAGAAGACAAGGGTGGCATGAAGGAAAAGACTGACAAACCCAAGAACATGGCAAATATTAAGACAGAACAGGAAGATGAGGCATCTGAGAAAAGGTTACATGAAAGCACAAAACATGTTCCACATCAGACTGCCCCTGTAGAACAGAAAAGCATTGAACAAGGCAGATGTGTGGAGAACATTAATGGAACCTCTCACTCTAATCTACAACTGAAAAACAATACTGTTAAGAAATCACATAAGTGTGATGAATGTGGGAAATCCTTCAAATATAATTCCCGCCTTGTTCAACACAGAATTATGCATACTGGGGAAAAGCGTTATGAGTGTGATGACTGTGGAGGGACTTTCCGCAGCAGCTCCAGCCTTCGAGTCCACAAACGGATCCATACTGGGGAGAAGCCGTATAAGTGTGATGAATGTGGGAAAGCATACATGTCCTACTCCAGCCTTATAAACCACAAAAGCACCCATTCTGGGGAGAAGAACTGTAAGTGTGATGAGTGTGGAAAATCCTTCAATTACAGTTCTGTTTTGGACCAACATAAAAGGATCCACACTGGGGAGAAGCCCTATGAATGTGGTGAATGTGGAAAGGCCTTCAGGAACAGTTCTGGTCTCCGAGTTCACAAAAGAATCCACACGGGGGAAAAGCCCTATGAGTGCGACATCTGTGGGAAAACCTTCAGTAACAGCTCTGGCCTTAGAGTCCACAAAAGGATCCATACGGGTGAGAAACCCTATGAATGTGATGAGTGTGGAAAGGCCTTCATTACATGCAGAACACTCTTAAACCATAAAAGCATCCACTTTGGAGATAAACCCTATAAATGTGATGAGTGTGAGAAATCTTTTAATTATAGCTCTCTCCTCATTCAGCATAAAGTCATCCACACTGGAGAGAAACCTTATGAATGTGATGAATGTGGGAAGGCCTTCAGGAATAGCTCAGGCCTCATAGTGCATAAAAGGATCCATACAGGAGAGAAGCCTTACAAGTGTGATGTCTGTGGCAAAGCATTCAGCTATAGCTCAGGCCTTGCAGTTCATAAAAGCATTCACCCTGGGAAGAAAGCCCATGAATGTAAGGAGTGTGGAAAATCCTTTAGTTATAACTCACTTCTTCTTCAACATAAAACTATTCACACTGGAGAAAGACCTTATGTTTGTGATGTTTGTGGCAAAACTTTCAGAAACAATTCAGGCCTCAAGGTCCACAGAAGGCTCCATACTGGGGAAAAACCATATAAATGTGATGTATGTGGGAAAGCCTATATCTCACGCTCTAGCCTTAAAAATCACAAAGGAATCCATCTTGGGGAAAAACCCTATAAATGTAGCTATTGTGAGAAATCCTTCAACTATAGCTCTGCCCTTGAACAGCATAAAAGGATTCATACAAGGGAGAAACCATTTGGGTGTAACGAGTGTGGAAAAGCTTTCAGAAATAATTCAGGCCTTAAAGTACATAAACGAATCCATACTGGGGAAAGACCTTACAAATGTGAAGAATGTGGCAAAGCCTACATCTCACTCTCAAGCCTTATAAATCATAAAAGTATACACCCTGGAGAGAAACCCTTTAAGTGTGATGAGTGTGAGAAAGCCTTCATCACATACCGGACACTTTTAAATCACAAAAAAATTCATCTTGGGGAGAAGCCCTATAAGTGTGATGTGTGTGAGAAATCTTTTAATTATACCTCGCTCCTTTCTCAACACAAAAGAGTCCACACTAGAGAGAAACCCTATGAATGTGATAGATGTGAGAAGGTTTTCAGAAACAACTCAAGCCTTAAAGTGCATAAAAGAATACATACTGGGGAGAAGCCCTATGAATGTGATGTGTGTGGAAAAGCCTACATCTCACACTCTAGCCTTATTAACCATAAAAGTACCCATCCTGGCAAAACACCCTATACATGTGATGAATGTGGGAAAGCCTTTTTTTCAAGCAGAACTCTTATGAGCCATAAAAGAATCCATCTTGGGGAGAAACCATTCAAGTGTGTTGAGTGTGGGAAATCTTTTAGTTACAGCTCACTTCTTTCTCAACACAAGAGAATTCACACAGGTGAGAAACCTTATGTATGTGATAGGTGTGGGAAGGCATTCAGGAACAGCTCAGGCCTTACTGTACATAAAAGGATCCACACAGGTGAGAAGCCCTATGAATGTGATGAATGTGGAAAGGCATATATCTCACACTCAAGTCTTATAAACCATAAAAGCATACACCGTGGAAAGCAGCCCTATAATTGTGAGTGTGGGAAATCCTTCAACTATAGATCAGTCCTTGACCAACACAAAAGGATTCACACTGGAAAGAAGCCATACCGATGCAATGAGTGTGGGAAGGCATTTAATATCAGATCAAATCTCACCAAACATAAAAGAATTCATAGTGGAGAGGAGTCCTTGAATGTGACAAATATGGGATATCATGGTGGCACATTCCAGAAGAGAACTTATGAGGGAGGGAATGTTCTGGATGGGACTAGGATGAGGATGCCTCTGTAGAAGACTAACAAGTCTCAAAGAACTCCAGGTGGGGAGAGGGGACCCTTATGAATGTAAGAATGTCTGTGGTCTATATTCATGGTTTCTAATTTTTGAAGTTAAAACCATTCCAGATGATTTTGACTAATGTTTTCTATCTGGTTTTCAATCAAAACCAGCAAGAAAGGCTCCACTGTCAAGATAGTTGAGCTCTTTTGGAATATAGCATAATTCATACTGGAGATAAAACTATTAAAGTGATGGAACACAAAATAATTCAAAATAAGCAGATATAGCTGGACATAGAAACACACAAATGAGGTAAGGACATCAATTAAACATACAGACGCCCTAAGTTCATATTTTAGTGAAAAAACTTAATATAAAAAATTAGGTATTGCTTTGAATCTCACTTGTAAATTGGTCAGTGGGAGAAAAATACAAGAAAAGCCTCTAATAGCAAATTCAGGAGAGAGAGACTTCATGGAATATAAATGTATTTATCAACTGTGATCATGAAGTATAAACTTGATATAATTGAATGGTTCGGTGGGGGCAGATGGCAACTTTTGAAACAAAATTTGTATTTCTTTGTAGTGAATGTACAAAGTATAAACTTAGCTAACAGGAGATAGGAGAAAGGTCACTCATAAAAGTGTAAATTGATTGGAATATAATATTGTAATACACGAGTGGGTAAAATATTTTAAAGTTTTGAAATGAACTTTCTCGAATGACAAATGTGTGTCTAAGTGAAAACCTAGAAGGTAGTATTCACATATTATACTACAATAATAAGGTTCTTCCATGGAGAGGATTTTGGCACACTGAATAATGTTAACACATTTTCAGCATTAATTTGCACCTTACATGACAGTAAGAATTGATTCAGGGATTCCAGTGAATAAGAATGTTGGGAAGGAGGGAATTTTATTGCAGGAGCTAAAAGGCTAGTTAATGGTAATCAAGAGAGAAGTGGAAATTAATGTTTCTTAATCTTTTTAATTATTTTATTGTTTTGGAATGTGTTATTGTAAAGATTCCATGCAGTACATGTGTATATTGTCTGCTGTAAACAGTTATGAATATTTGTTCAGGCTTCACTCTTTTGCCATGAAGGCTAGATAGTTGTGCCAAGGTAAGGTCAAACTACAATAAAAAAATTCCTCAAATATAAAGATGTGGTGACTTAATTTAGATGGAGCAATATTACACCCATTTGTAAATCAGATTTTTGTGGAGTACATTATACCAGATCCAAAACCAGGAGGGTAGCACAGGGCTCATTCTAAGGGGCTAGTAGCTTAGGTCTTATCAGAAATTATGTGGAACCTGAACTGGAAGCACAGAATGGGTTTTCAGGGGACTGCAGGTAAGCAATATGATTCTCATACTGGAGCTGGACCATAACTTGTTGGTATTATTCACACACAAACAATTCTGTTTAACAGAATTTGACATGAAAAAAAAAATTGGGGAGACAGGTCCCCCTCGACACACCCAGGTTCATTCCTTAAATGCCCATAGTAGCTAGGATTGGGCTGGGCTGAAGCCAGCAATTTGATTTAGGTTTTCTTTTAAAGATTTTATTTATTTGGGGCTGGTGCTGTAGTATAGTGGGTTAAGCCTCTGTCTACAGCACCGGCATCCCATACGGGCACCTGTTTGTGTTCTGGCTGCTTCTCTTTTGTTCTAGCTCTCTGCTATAGCCTAAGAAAGCAGCAGAAGATGGTCCAAGTGCTTGAGTTCCTGCACCTGCGTAGCAGACCCAGAATAAGCTCCTTTTCTCCTGGCTTCCAGTCAGCAAAGCTCTGGACATTGCGGCCAATTGGAGAGTGAACCAGTGGATGGAAGACCTTTCTCCTGGTCTCTCCCTCTTATAACTCTACCTCTGAAATAAATAAATTTTTAAAAAATTTATTTATGTATTTGAGAGGTGGAGTTACAGAGAGAGGGGCAGAGAAAAGGTCTTCCACCTGATGGTTCACTCCCCAAATGGCCGCAACAGCTGGAATTGAGCTGATCCAAAGCCAGGAACTTCTTTGGGGTCTCCCATGTGGGTGTAGGGGCCCAAGGACTTAGGCTATCTTCCACTGCTTTCCCAGGCCATAAGCAGAGAGTTGGAGCAGAAGAGAATCAGCCAGGACAGGAACTGGTGGTCATTTGGGATGCTTGCACCACAGGTGGAGGCTTAGCCTACAGTACCACAGTGCCAGTCCCCAATCTAGGTTTTCTCTATGAGTAGCAAGGGACCCAACCACTTGAGCTATCACATGCTGCCTCCCAGAGTCTGCACTAGCAGGAAATGAATTGGGAGCAAGTTGGAAATTGAAACCACTCTGACGTGGTGTATAGACTTTGTAACTGTCTCAACTCCTAGGTCTAATGCCTGCCCCTGAAATATTTTTAGCTGCATGAAACTGTTAGCTGTTACTCAAAAGGTAAGGGTAGACTCTTCTGCAAGGTAAGTAACTTGTCGAAGAATCCTGTGGGTGGGACCTCTCAGTACAGGCTGAATTTTAAGTCTGGTCTTTGGCCTCACAGTCCACAATCTTTCTAAAAGAACAATCTCTAAAATCAGTACACTTTGATGGCATAGTGTCTGCAACTACAGGAACAACTGCCATTTTTTCCTACAAATTGTAAAGTCTGTAAAGTTGATATCTTAAAAGTTGATTATATGTGCAGGAAATGAGATAACCACTTTTGCTGTGGTTATCATCAACTCTGAGTTTTCATACTGGAGATCCATGGTGTAGAATTGAAAATTTTCTCAAATTGTGCTGACCTTGCTAGAATTGGATAAATTCTGTATATGCCAAGTATGAATGATACATACTTGAATACACAGTTTATTAACTGTACAAAGCTATGACTTACCAATCAGGCTTGTAGACCTACACCCTTACCCAAAACAAGTAGACTCTTTCCAGTTTTATTTTTTATCCTAAAGTTGAATGTTTCCTATTGGATGTGAGTTCAAATAAGTTGATCTGAGTAGCTTTTCATTTCTGAATTAAAACTATGAAAATCCAAAAAAAAAAAAAAAAAGAACAATGTCTAGCCACAATTTTGTTTCTAGAATTCCTATCTATCCAGGTATTTCAATGCCTCTGTCTAAGAGTATAATTCTTCCACTGTCTCCAACCTCTATCAGTAAATATTGAGGAATGTAGTGGAAGAGAAGGGTAGGATGGAGTGAAGACAGAGACAGAGTATTTTTGAAAAACTCCATTTTGGAATTTTGTGACTACACTTGCTTGATGTCCTTCACAAGTGACACTGGCAAACTGGACCTTATCAATGGACTAATTTATTCAGCAAATTCTTACTGAGGGTCTTCCTGGTGCAATTCACTGCCACTGGGTGAGGAAAAGATGGTAGGAACTAGTTTCTGGCAGATTATTAAATGGAAGATCACAGGCAAAATCACCCTATTTAATATCTGAACTAAACTCTAGGTGTTCAGAGGAAAATGACTATGACTGACCAAGAAGAGGGAAGTAGTGGTATCTGGGCAGGACATTGTATTGGAGTGTTTTGAGAAAGTTGAACAATAGAACAGCTTGATCGAAGGCAGCATTGAAGCACTCTAGCATCTTCTAAAGTGGCTACTGTGATAGGGCTGGCCTGTGGTGGAGGATGCCATGAAATGGGCTGGTCTTCTATTTGCTATAGGTCAGTCCAGCTCTGAGATGACTGAGACACCTGAGCATTCCATGTGCCCTGTGCCTATGGCTCTAGACCCATGCCACCCTCACCCACATACCTACACTTAGAAAAATCTCCAAGTGGACCTAACGCACTTTTTCCTTAAGGGGAGATACAGGTGAAATAACAAAAGAGGGGATAACCAGGTTTGTATGAGGATTCTGAGCATCCCAGCCACAAGAACACTTCTAGTGTGGTTGCCATCTATTTGGATGATCTGGAATCCCTAGACATGGGCCTCAAGTATACATAGGGCTAAATTTGTGCTCTCCAGACTGATCCCAGATGTGATTTCTCTTGGTCTCTATGCTCTAGGTATACACTCTATGGCAGGTCCAATGAATTGGTGCAGATGAGCCTACTCAGGCCAGCTGGGGATGTGAGGTGGTTTTGAGACCACCCCATCCTCTTCCAAAGACTGAGATGCAAGAAGAAAAAAAAAATCACTAACTTAGGAAAACCAACACTAAAAAGTGTCAAATTAGCAGCACTGAAGATGGAATTGAAATGGTGAACAAGAGCAGGTAAATTGGAAGCAGATCTACTTCGAATCAGCCTAAAATACTTCTATTACCTGGGAGATAGTCAAGACCCCCCCCCCCCTTTAAGATTTATTTATTTATTTAAAAGAGTTACACAAAGAGAGGAGAGGCAGAGAGAGAGGTCTTCCATCCCCTGGTTCACTCCCCAAATGGCCGCAATGGCTGGAGCTGTGCCGATCTGAAGCTAGGAGCAGAAGCTTCTTCTGGGTCTCCCACACTGGTGCAGGGGCCCAAGTACTTGGGCCATCTTGTACTGCTTTCCCAGGCCATAGCAGAGAACTGGATCGGAAGTGGAGCAACTGGGTCTCAAACTGGTGCCCATGTGGGATGCTGGCACTTCAGGCCAGGGTGTTAACCCGCTGTGCCACAGTGCCGGCCCTGGTCAAGATCTTTTAACACCAGATTTTATTCACTAAATATGTATGGGAAAATGTCATAAGCATGAGAAGGATAAAAATATAAATATCTAGAATGAAAAACCTCAACAAACAGAAGGTTAAATCCTTTCACTTTCTGGTAAAGGTAACTTTGGTTATTATGTCAATTTCCCATGGAAAACAATGAAAAAGGATGTACAGTGTAAACAGTAATGGTTTGTGTCTTAATCTGCAGGTTTATCTAATAAAATGTCAAACTGAGTAGCCTATAAACAAATTTAATTCTCAAACTTTGGAGACTTGGAAGTATAAACAAGGCACCTCAGGTTGTATGTCTGGTAAGGGTTCATTTTCAAGTTCATAGGTGGCACCTTGCTGCATCCTCCAGTGATGACAGAGGTCTCTTGAACTTCTTGTAAGGGCACTAATTCATTCTCTGCTCTGCTCTCATGACTTAATGACCCCCTCCTCCCCACCCTGCAAAGGTCCCACATCCTAATGCCATCCCACTGATTAGGCCCCTTATGCAAAGGAGTTTGAAAGAAGTGATTGGTCACAAGTCAGGGAAAGGAATTCTACCACAGATATGGCAAATGGAGAAATACTGTTTTATCCTTCCTCTTTACATTGGCTCACCTACACCATAAGGGTGTGTGGAGAAGTTCCTGGAAAGCAGTTCAGAGCAGCACATAATGGTGAATTAACATACCACTTTGTGTTTCTTCTGGGTTAAATTCTGCCACGCCTTACCTGTAACAACATTGTTTTCTTCTCTATTATAGTTCCTTCAGCTTCCCTGTAGTAGGTGGAGTTCCCCAGAGAAATTTTAATTGTGATGAAGTATCCTAAGAGGAAGTTTAAATGATATGCCAAACACCTACCCCCTTGCATTTTAAAATACTAATTCTATACTTGAATTAATATATACTCATAGATTAAATATGAAGCCACAAGGCTCCATAAACTTGCTAAATCCCTAATGGGATATTTTAGGTTTACATCTAGTTCTCTTAACAGGTTTAAAGTTCTTTAACATAGAAGTTACCTTCAGGAGAAGGGGCACTCCTGAAGTCAGGATTACAAATTGTTTCTTTGCTAATTATCATTGCTTATTGTCTGTTCCTTCTTTAAATTGCTTGTCTTTTGTGTATCTCAATGTGTCAGGACTACTACTAAAGTAAAAATAATGGTATCTTAACAATCAGAAAGTAATTACCAAGCTACTTCTTGTTGACCTCAGAGAATACAAGTCACTTGGCCTACCTGAAGCTCTGGTGCTTCAGCTGCCTCCTTGTCGCTCAAATGCCTGTTTTATTATTTCTATTAATTTATTTTACTATTACAGCTACCAAATACACCCCCTAATGATGGACATAATTTCCTGAGACAGACCCATGTCAGCAGTGACATTTCTAATTCTTAGACTGATCTTCAATGCTTTGCTGTGGGTTTTGATCAAAAGGGGAGAAAGTGAAGAAAATGGAGTAGCATTCATTTGTAGTAGTAGGGAGTCGAGAGATCATGTTAAATCAGGTTTCAGATATGTCT